CCGCTCTGAATTGGAGCCTTTCATATTATAATACTTTGCGCAATGAAAGATTGTTAATAGCATTTCTTGTTCTGTCCTATCTATCATATGTTGCTATACATTTAAAATAAATCTTTTTACATTTTATAATCTATATTTACATAAATATATTTACTTGTTTTTCATGAATGTATTTTACAACAATACAAAGAGCAATGTGTAACATTTTACCAGATTTAGTCCTACACTTATTCACTTTTATTTGTTCCCCACTAAATAGGAATAAAGGAAACTAAACAAAAAACATGAAAACCCATTATAAACGAGGCATTTGTTGCATCCAGTGGGGACATAATTACTGATTATAATGACTTATACTGTCTTTTTACGCGTTGTGTTGCATCGCGCCGCATAAACATAACTATGTCTGCATTTGTGATCGGAGAAATGACAAACAACAAGAACTACTCTACACTGCTCAAAACTCACGTTTGAATCGTCAGTGGCAAATCCTTTAAATGAAAACGTACTTACAGACTGTGAGTCAGAACTGCCGGCATTGTAGTCTACTCTCACAGGATCAGGAAACAGTCCTCCATAAAATGTGCTGCACACAAATGAATATTTGGGTTGAACTGTTCTGGAACAGTGTTGTAAATACAACTTAACCACTGATTTGTAGTCGTGTCCTCTTTTGGAAGACCAAACAAAGTAGTTTCGCTTTCACAACGAAACACGCGGCGGCCTAGCTTGAGCTGAGGCCGGACTAGAGTGAGCAGAGGCGGCGGGCATGAGAACAGTGCAGCCGGCGGATTCGACGAAGTAGCGGCAACCACATGTGACGACCCCGGACTGGACTGGACGTGTTAGAACGAGCCTTTCAAGATCGATGCATTGCATCGTCAGGGTTTGTAATCGATGCATCGAGAAAACAAGTTAATCGTTACACCCCTACTTAGGAGTCTTATCTCCTCCGGCGGTGAAACAATGGCGGACTGATGACAGCTTACTCAGGGCGGGTCTAAGGTAAGACACCAGTCCAGTCTGGGCTGAAACACTACTGTCAATCAAACTATCGTGGGAGGGACCTGTCTGTGTGACATCACAAAGACAGGCATCTGAGATCGGCTCGATTTTAAAAAGGGGTAAAGGTTTTAGTAGATTAAAAAAAAAACACTGGGTGGATTTTTATCATTATAGGGTGGTTGTGTACACACACTAACACACATTTCAGTTCAAACAACTTGTAAAAGTGCATGTAGCATCCAATGACCCCTTTAAGAGCCAGTTGCGCTCGTGCCATGGTGGATTTGCTATTTACACGGCGGAATTTGCAAGCGCAAAGACAGCTTGAGAGGTGTTGAGAGGCAAAGACCAGAGAGGAAACGGAGCTGCTCGTGCACGAGCAAATAGGTAGCCTAATTCTGATGCAGGCAATGACTATCCATTATGACATGTAGGCATTTTTATATTTATGTAGCCTACACAATAATAATCTTACATTGTAATCCTTTAATTTTTATATTTGGCATGCTTGAGTGCTGCTGTACGTCCCTGTGTGTGTAATGAGCAGAGTGTATGCGCGCTGTGGACCCGCCTATACTAACGCGCTTTTTAAAGGGGTCATATGATGTGATTTCAAGTTTTCCTTTCTCTTTGGAGTGTTACAAGCTGATTGTGCAAAGATAAGATCCCTGAAGTTGCAAAGACTAAAGTCTCAAAACCAAAGAGATATTCTTTATCAAAGTTAAGACACTGCCACGCCCCCCTAAAACGGCTCGTTCTAACACGCCCCCACATATCTACCTCACTATGTGAAAATATTTCCATAATTCCGCCCAAATGTGCATGCAAAGAAAGAAGGTGTGGTTTCAGGAACAGCAGTTAGTGTTGAAGCAGCATGTCAGGGAGACGCTGTGTGTTTCTAGGCGAAAGCAAAAGCACTTTATTTGGCCTTCCGAAAGTAGATGCATTTAGGAATCTTTAAGACTACTTACCACAGAACAGCAATGCATTTTATGGACGACGATTTCGTGAACCTAGGAGAGAAGGTAATTCTGACTTAAAGGCCACACTCCATGTGACCCGCCCTAGTCGGTGGTTCGGTTAGATGCAGATGAGGATGTGAGAAAACGCTGCAGGTGCTGCTGCCACACAGATCTAAAATAAACATGCAATTTATTTCCCAGCTGTGTACCTTCACAGACTTAACCCACTGTTTTTTGTAACTCGTGTGTTTTTAACGTAAACTTGTGTTTGAAAGAGAACTTAGTTTAGTACTGGCATGCTGTGACAGCCGCTTTCTGTCCGTGTGCTTTGGATGTGTGCGCTCAGAAAACCGTATATCAGAAGTTTAAACTAATATGGTTTAAAACGCATGATTTCAGCGCGAAAAACAGGATAATCAGAACCAAAACAGATGTTTTAGCAGGTCCAAGCTGTAATGGAGCAGCTTTATTCTAGGAAAGGGGGCGGGGAGCAGCAGCTCATTTGCATTTAAAGAGACAAGCCCGAAAAACAGTGCGTTTCTGCCTCCACTCAAAATAGGCATTTTCAAAATGATATAATAAATGATCTGTGGAGTATTTTGAGCTGAAATTTCACAGACACATTCTGGGGACACCAGAGACTTATATTACATATTGTAAAAAGGGACATAATATGTCTCCTTTAAATAACAAAAAAACTACTGTGCCATTGACTTTAGGCCAAGTTTTAGTTGGTCAATGGCGCAGTCCATTTCAGTTGTCTCAAAATAGCAACGCGCCAACAATGTGCCTGAACACACCTCGTTTTCAGACCAGCACGCCCATGAGCGCACAAATGGGCGCAAATGCATTTGCTATTTAAACAACGTGGTGCAGCACGTGAAAATGATTACTGCATCAGGCTGAAACTAGCAAAAAACACTTGCGTCGCGCCTGGCACCACATTGCACCGGATGTATGATAGAGCCCTAAGTCTTCTTTAGTATTCTTATAATTAGAATTCTTATAATGCAGTATCAGAATTTCTGTTTTGTTCATTTTCTCTAAGATTAGTAGCAAATTTCATGCATTTGTGAAGAGAAATGGAGAAGAGAAACCAATTGTCTGTTCTACCATGTATGTGTGTGGTGTTTAATACTTCAATAACTTCTTGTTCTACTGGAATTAGTGCCGACGTGTGCATGTTTGTATGCGTATGTGAATGAGTCAGTGGTGTTTTCTGCTCTTCTCTGTGTGAGAGTTGACTGCAGTTCAAAGAGGAAAGATTGTAATATTACAGCACCATTGATCTGGCATGAGCCTGTGCATGTGAAGCTATTTTAAGCCGTGATTCAGTCTGACTCACTCAAAATGACAGATTTCGTTTGAGAGAAAAAGTGCTTATTCAATCCCAAATCTTTGGTGTGTCAGAACTGACGGGATACACTCTGGAAATTCCTGCAGCTCTGAGCGTCCGGATTCATTTGCGGCTCTCACAACTTCCCGGAATCTGCTCTCATTTTTTCCCAAGGAGATTTGGGTGTGTGTGTGTGTGTGTGTGTGTGTGTAGGTCGAAGGTTTCAGATCATAGGTCAATTGCTCTATTCTCTCTTAATTTCCAGATGAACATTTTTAGCTAATCCCAGTAGAACAAGAAAATCACCCCCCTCTTTTTTTTTTCTCCCTCTCTCTGCTCAAACCCACACTGGACTACATTCATAGAGTGTATGAGAGTTTTATCATCGATAATAGTTGTTGTTTGTCAGATTGTATATTTGAATGTTGCATTATTATATTTTATTTATTTATAAAGAAACTTTTGGTTTTGTGTCAGTATGAGAGTCCACATCTATGGAAGCTTGTTTCCACCACGGGGTAAAAAAAATAGAAAGTCATTTGCAACTTTTCATCTCACAATTCTGACTTTTTTTTCTTGCAAATGTAAATTTATATCTCACAGTTCTGACTTTTTTCTTCTTCTCAGAATTGTAAGTTTATATCTGAATGTGTCAGAATTGTGATATAAAAAGTCACAATTGCCTAGTTTTACTATTTTATCCTGTGGCGGTAACAAGCTACCACAGGAAAGAAAAAACTGAATTGTGAGATATAAACTCAGAATTCAGAGAAAAAGTCAGAATTGCGAGATGTAAACTCAGAATTCAGAGAAAAAGTCAGAATTGCGAGATGTAGAAAAGTCAGAATTCTGAGTTTACAAGGAAAAAAGTGCGATACAAACCCCTAATTGTGAGGGGGGAAAAGTCAGAATTGTGATATAAAAATGGCAATTACCTCTTTTATTTTATTCAGTGGTGAAAACTGGACTTCCATTCAATTCACAGTTTATTGCTCAATGTCAAATTTTGCATTTGCGTTTAATTAGCAGACACTTTTATCTCACAAATGAGAATAATATAAACAGTAGAGAAGTCCTTGAGTAATAAGTCTTATCATTCTTATAATGCAATGTCAGAGTTGGTTTTGTGGAAATCTGAAAAAGTTTAGTAGCAGTTTTCATGCATTTACAAAGAGAAATGGAGAAGAGAAACTTTTTCAAGACAAAACGTTGCTACCGTACATGCATTTGCAATGCATTTACAAGAGCAGTAAAAATAAAAAAAGTGAAGTGGCATGAGGCCAAGTATGGTGGTTACCCATACTAGGAATTAGTGCTCTGCGTTTAACCCATCCTTAGTGCACACACACAGCAGTGAACACACACACCATGAACACACACCCGGAGCAGTGGGCAGCCATTTACGCTGTGGTGGAGGGTTCGGTGCCTTGCTCAAGGGCACCTAAGTCGTGGTATTGAAGGTGGAAGAGAGCGCTGTACATTCACTCCCCCCACCTACAATTCCTGCCGGACCTGAGACTCGAACTCACAACCTTTGGGTTACGAGTCCGACTCTCTAACCATTGGGCCACGACTTACCCCAAATATAAAGACAATATGCAAGCACAATAATTGTGAATTTATATATGGAATTAAATGTTCCTAAAGACATTATTTAACTAATTATTTTAATTTGTTGTGCTTTGTTTATGTTTTAGGACTACAAAACGCCAAAGCTCACTGTACCCTGTTCGGACATCCAAGAGATTCGACGCTGTAATCGCCTAGAGATGCCAGACAACATGAACACATTTGTCTTAAAGGTGAACAAAGACACACAGTCATGAATTACACACTGGTTCATTTTATTGATAAACTAATATATTTACCAGGCTGATTCATTTGGATGATATTAGGCCATTTTAAGATTGTGTATAGGCACGTCCTGTTTTCATGATGATTTTAGTGCAGATTTAAGTAAATATTGCATGCAATAAATCAATGATCATTACATTTGATTACATTTACATATAATTATGGAACTATATAATATATAAAGAAGGGTCCAAAAGTTAATTTTTTTTAGGACCTTCACTCTATAATGTAAAAATGAATAAGAAATATTCTAGATTGTGCGCTATTTTTAGGACTCATTATCAAGTAAATGAGTGTCATTGATTATGTGACTCTTGTACAGTTGGTTCTTCTGTTGAAGCTCTCTGGAACAACTCAAATCATGCTGGAGAACATGATCATCGGGTTTTATAATACAATAATTATTAAATAGAAAAATGCAAAATAGAGCCATTTTAACAACTCGTCATTTTTGGAACCCACTGGTCATGATTAGTGGTCGACCAAAATGTGTTTTCCTTTGGTCTCTGCTGATATCTAGAGAGCAGTGGCTGATGGCCAATATAATGCCGTTGTTGATGGCAGCGCCTTGTGTGGTGCAACAGGCTTTTCTCTATATAAAACGATATGATATTTATAACTACATAAAAAAGTTTGTAGACAAACCTCAAGTTGGCTTGAAAAAGCCTAGCCAGAAAGTTTGAAGTAGTTTTAAAGTTTTAGTTTAAAGGTTTTCAGTTTTGCTTAAAGCCAGCTAAAACTACAAAAGTTAGATTTAGAAAAATAGCTAAAACCAGCTGATTTAGCAACAAAAGCTTAAAAGAAAAAAAAAACAGATAATTTAACAAATATCAGCTTAAAACCATCTAAAACCAGCTGTTTTAACAACAAAAAAAACAGCTAAAAACCAAGTTAAAACCAGCTGATTTAGCAAAAAATGGCTTAAAACAAGTTGATTCAGTAAAAAGCAAACAGTTAAAACCAGGTCATTTAGTGAAACCAGCTAAAAACCAGCTAAACCCAGCTGATTTAGCAACAAAAGCTAAAAACCAGCTAAAACCAGTTAAATCCAGATAGATAGATAGATAGATAGATAGATAGATGAGTTTGAATGAATCTCAGTATCTTAGAAATAGTACATAGAATGGCAGCTCAAGTTGAGTCTAATGGGCTTCAGTGTGTTTAGATTTGAAAGTCTATCAGCTGGAGCTTGATGAGTCTTGGCTCATTTGAACATTCCGTCAATGTAAGTCTATGGGATTTTTCCCAGTTTTAATCATCATTTTTCCGATCAGTTAGAAAAGATATAGCACACTAGTCAGATCAGTCTGAAGGTCTGTCCCGAGTTTGGTGAATGTAGCTTGAAAGCTCTAGGAGGAGATAATAGAAAAATAATAATAATCTTAAATATTAAATCAGTAAGCCAACTTAATTACTATGCATGCAGTTTTTATGGCCTCATAGAATTTGGAATAGTAATTCTAAATGTATATATTTAAGTAAAAGGTTTATACATGTAAATAAAAGCTTTTATGATGACTACATGGAATAGTATTTTGGAATGTATATATTTAAATAAAAGCTTTTATGATGACTACATGGAATAGTATTTTGGAATGTATATATTTAAATAAAAGCTTTTATGACCTCATTATAATTGAGAAACTATAAACCTTTTGCTAAAATGTACAAATCAAAAATCTAATCTAATTTTGGATTTATACATGTTAGTAATAGGTTTATATATTTAAATAAAATGTTTTATGACTTAATAATAATTATTACTACATGGTGTATGTGTTTTTTTCTCATTTTGTCTCTCATAGTTGAGGTATACCTATGATGAAAATTACAGGCCTCTCTCATCTTTTTAAGTGGGAGAACTTGCACAATTGGTGGCTGACTAAATACTTTTTTTCCCCACTGTATATATTTATATTATTTTATTTATTTTTTAGCATTTTTTTTCTAATCTTACTTCAAATTCACCACAAATATTGTAAAACATGATGCAGATAATAATCGAAAAGCAGTCAATTAATCGGCCCAAGCAGTAACTCAGTCAGACACTGTATTTGGTATGAATAAAAAAAATTTGTTGAATCCCTCACCAAATGGTCAAGTTAATTTCTAAATCTTTTATTTTCTTTTGTTCTGCTGGTTCATGTGTTTAGTTTTTTCCTCTGTTCGCCGCACAGGTTACTGGTCATCCGGGTAGTTTTATATTTGAGGCTGATAATGAGCAGCAGGTGAGCTCTTGGACCACAGAGCTCAGAGAATGCATCACCAGCAGCAGGTGAGAGCGACGCTTTCTGCGTTTGAACTAAACTTATCTCTGAAGATCCCAGACATCTGCAAAAGTTCCTGTCATTCCCCTACTGAGAAAACCCACTCAGTTCCTCTTTTACACACATACATACACTCTCACACACACACACACACAGAATAAAACAGCTCTATTTTAACTAAACTAAACTTAGTGCTACTGCTAAAGAAATCCACATAGTTTGGGTTCTCACATATTTTAGTATTTTTATAAGTCTTAATTTAGACATCAGTCGGTTTGTTTGCTTGCAGACATGTCCGCACACACCATCTGTGTGTTCTGCACATGCTAGGTCTTTCACAAAATGTGTGTGTGTGTGTGTACGCATCTGTTTCATTTCCTTTTATTGGTGTGAGGGTACTGAGAACTCAAGTCTGTGTGAATATATCAATGTGAGTTTTAGGAAGAGAGAGAGAGAACGAGAGTGAGGTCTTCCTGTTATTCTGATTACTAAGAATCTCAAGAACTCGACTCAGCACATCTCATGGCCTCCTTTCTCTCCATGCCCCCTTCTCTCTTTTTTTTTTCTCTCTCTCATTGGCTTTTTTTTTTTAACCTTTTTTTTTGGTCCACCCTGTGTGTATGCGTTCATCTTGACATAAGAGCATCATATACAATAGGGTTTTAGCTTGTCCAAGAATTACACAACACATTTCCTGACTCGAACCAAAAGCTTTTGTGCTGCTTTCTCCCGCAACTTCCCCAAACACCCCTCCCCGCGTCTTGCTCTCTCTCTCTTCCTCTGTCCTTTCCTTCACTTCGTCCCTATAGGTTTCAAAACGACGTCTGCTTTTCTAATTCTCATCCTATAAGATCCTATTCTTGTTGTATTCATTCCATTCCATTCCTATTTATTTATTTATTTATTTTTAATTAGTCACAATTTTCTCCCAGTTTTTCACCAGATTTTACTTTTTTATTATTTTATTTATGAATTAGAAACCTTTTAATTTAAATGTTATATTTTCATTTATAATTTATATAATTATATTATCTAATATATTAATTATAAATATATATTGTAACTTTCTATTTATAATTATTTATATATATATATATATATATATATATATATATATATATATATATACACACACACACTATTTCTACAATATGCATAGTAAAAGCAGCATCAAAATTGTCTTTTTGCAAGAAATATATGAATGTCCTACTACATTTGCCAAGTTACGAATACAACTGAGTATACTACACAGAAAAATGTATGCCACAATGCAATGCGTTGATCTTGATCTTCCATTTCCAAAATGACAAATAAACCAGAATTTTTAAATTCTAACTTTATAACTTTTAAAATCCCTATTTTGATTATTTGAAGACGTTTTACACTAAATTGAATTCAAAATGTGAAATAATAATTAATCATTTATAATCATATTAACAATGAAATGTACTTAAATAGAAATCTGTTAAAATAATGTAACCATTTAAAAATAATTAAAATAATAAATTTTATAGTTTATCAGTAAAAATGTATTTACTTTACTTTTACTTTTAGTCATTTAGCAGACGCTTTTATAAAAACAACTAACTTACATGTGTATGTACAGCCACACACATACATATATATATATATATATATATAAATACATTCAATATATATATATATATATATATGTTATTTCATTTCCATTTTGTATGTTGAAGTACTGAAATAGCTCAAATTAATTAAAACTAAAACTTAATAAAAAGCCTATATAGACACAAAATAAAAAAACTAATAAAATGACATTACTACAACTGTAACTAAAACTAAAATAGATAACTAATACAAATCAAACTACATTAGTTTATCAGTAATCCTAAAAAAATAAAAATAATACTGAGGCAAACACACATGCTAAAATAACAACTTACTGACACATAGTAAGAAATGGTTATAAAAAACTGAAACAGAAGTGAAACTAGTAGTAGGAAAAAAAAAGTTTGTGAAAAGTGCTATACAAATAAACTTGAATTGAAATGAAATTGAAGTTCTTTAAAATAAAGAACTGGTTTTATACTTTGTAACGTAATGACATTCACACATTTGAGTGTTACTTAAGGGTCCACATGATTGTTAGTGCCACTGTATGCATGGAAAAAAAAGTTATCATCTCGTTATTGAAAGCTTTGCTTTGGTGTGTGTTCGTGATGTTCATGGTGTTTTTGTTGACATACCTGAGCATATGTGATGTGATGTTATTGACTGCGTGACATTCTGTGACCACTTCTTTATGCAGTTAAAGAAGTTCATAGATGTTTATGAGAGTGTGTGTGTGTGATTCCAGGTCAGATAGTGTGGATGGAGAACCGTTTCCTGTTAGCGACTCGCTCAACGCAGCTCTCAGAGGGAGCACAGAGCCCGGTGGCCAGGGTGAGTCACGTACACACACACACACACAGACTCTTACCCTCTCTCACTCATCAACACTTAGATTAATGCAACTACTCTAAAATAACTACGAATTCAGCTCAAAATGAGACATTTGTGGTTGATTCGACTAACGTGGTGTAAACTGGACCAAAAACTGTCAATTTTGATGTAATGGCATCTGTATTGTTCATATGTTTTGGTTCTACTTTTTAAATCGTGTGACAGTTACATTTTCTGCATAGTTTTTCATTGTTTTTATAAACGAATAGATGCGATTAAATTATTTTGCACCGTAATCGACTGCTCTGATGTCTGTAAACTTTCTGTCTCGTGTGTGTGTCTCCGCAGGCTCTCTGGGTTTTGGACTCGCAGAGTACGCCTACAATAAAACGGATCACTTCCTGTCCTCTTACCCATGGTTCCATGGGCCCATATCACGTGTGCGGGCTGCCTACCTTGTACAGCATGCCGGGGTCAGCGGTCATGGGAACTTCCTCGTGAGACAGAGCGAGACGCGGAGGGGAGACTACGTCCTCACGTTTAACTACCAGGGCAGAGCAAAGGTAACGAGGCCTAATCATCCTCATCATCATCATCATCATTATCACGAATGACAAAATCATTTCATTCTTTTCATTAAGGATTATACAATATCAGTGACCAGTTTATTCTTTATTATTAATTGATATGTATTTATATATTTTATATTAATAAAATGATATAATATTATAAATAGTATAATAAAAAAAAAAGTTGTTATTATAATAGTAATATTAAATAATGAAAAAATGGGTAATATATATATATATATATATATATATATATACATACATTTTTTCATAATTGTTTATTTTTATTTATGTTTCTTTCATTGGTATCATGTTTAGGCTGCTAAACAGGGAATATGTTTTCCTATTCAGTTTTTTTCTGATGGTTTTAAAAGCATTAATAGATTTTATGTCTTTTTTTCCTTTTTGCTGTGCTTTATATTGTTTGAATACTTTCTTTCTTTTTCTTATTACATTTATATGCATAAGATTGGCCATCATATTAGTATTAGTCATTACATAAAAATAATTATTGTTCAATTATTTATTAAAATTATTGTAGAAGTATCAAGTATATCAGATCTTTATATTGGTGCTTTCCTTTTTGCTTAGTACACTCTTAAAAATAAAGGTGCTTCAAAAGGTTCTTCACAGCGATGCCATAGAAGAACCATTTTTGGTTCCACAAAGAACCATTCAGTCAAAGGTTCTTTAAAGAACCATCTCTTTCTTGCGTTTTTATAATCTGAAGAACCTTCTTTCGCCACAAAGAACCTTTTGCCAAACAGAACGGTTCTTCAGATGTTAAAGGTTCTTTGGAACCATTTAGACAAAAAGGTTCTTCTATGGCATCGTGAAGCACCTTTATTTTTTAAGAGTGTAAGGATAACATCACAATGACTGTTGCACATCTTTCTGTTCATGTCTGTATTTATATTGCATTTTCCACTGTTTTTCTTCCTTTGCAGCATTTGCGTCTATCTTTAACTGAATGGGGTCAGTGTCGTGTGCAGCACCTGCGTTTCCCATCAGTCATGGACATGCTGAGTCACTTCCGCAACTGTCCGATCCCGCTGGAGTGCGGCGCTGCGTGTGAAGTTATGTTGGCCAATTATGTGCGGGTAAACCCCACTCACACAGGTGAGACTGTATTTTGCATTGTTTTTATTAACAATGCATATTTGACCCTATTATAATAACATTTTGCGTAATTGTGACAACCGAGCAGATTAATGCATCATTCACAGAAATTGCACACACAAGATGAACGAGTAATTTATGTGAAACTTCACTTGTGAAAAGTTCTGCTGGCCTAATATGAGCAATATAATACATAAATGCCACAATGTGACGTTTTGGAGGAAAAAAAGTCCTTTAAACATCCTTTTGCACATGCAAAAAATGTTACTCGAGTCACAACAGATGTTTTCTTAGTAGACGACTTGATTTGAATCACTTCTGAGTCATTTTCACAGTCTGATGTAAAGCATGTGATTTTGCAGGTCATAATGGCGAGTAACTGTGTTTGATTTAGTCACCCAATGCCATTTTTTTCACACATTTGTCACTTGGCAAGAATCAATTTTGGATTTTGTTTGTAAACCACATTAAAAAGCATAATAAAACTGTATAAATCTAGTTTATGTGATCATACACTGTTTAGAACTGCACAGTTAAAATATAATGTAGAATGGTATATAATAAAAAATAATATATTACGTAGCAGTTATTGATCTGGAATGTTCAAGCAGCTAAAAACATGCATGTAGTTTCTTTCTTGTCTCTCTGTCTCTTTCTCACACACACACACACACACACCATTTTTCCTCTTGTGCTTTGTGGTTTAGATGGGTTTTAGTAGTTCTGTGAGACTTGACACAAGGAAACATGCCTTCTCTCAAACACACAAACGCATATCATCAGAACTGCAGACACTATGACTTCAGACTAACCTGCCATCAAGTTTCTGTTTCCTGCAGTCCCTCCCTCACAAGCTGTAAAAATGCGGTCAAGTGCACACACACATATACACAAAGCCTAATACCATGTTTTATCACACACATACATGTACACATTTTACTAACGTCCTGCACATACTTCTACAGAATATACTTCAAACACGCTGTGATACTTGTAGAGGTTGTGAATGTGAAGACAATGCCCTCTATGGGATATAGGGAGTATATTGAGGTTTATTGTCGGGTAGATTTAAAATGTTTAGTGTATGAAGTAAAATACGGCTATAATCTAGTTCATGATTTCTATCCATAATCATTTCTTTTGATGGACATCATTGTAAGAATACAGTACACTACCATTCAAAAGTTTGGGGTCATTGTTTATAAAAGAAGTCTCTTCTGCTCACCAAGGCTGGGTTTATTTGATAAAAATTCAGTAAAAACAGGAATATTGTGAAATATTATTACAATTTCAAATAACTGTTTTCTATTTGAATATATTTTAAGATGTAATTTATTCCTGGGATGCAAAGCTGAATTTTCAGCATCATAACTGCAGTCTTCAGTGTCAAATGATCCTTCAGAAATCATTCTAAAATGTGACCCTGGACCACACAACCTGTCATAAGGGTCAATTTTTTGAAATTGAGATTTATACATCATCTGAAAGCGGAATAAATAAGCTTTCCATTGATTGTATGGTTTGTTAGGATATGACAATATTTGGCAGAGATACAGCTATTTGAATATCTGGAATCTGAGGGTGCAAAAAAAAAATCTAAATATTGAGAGAATCGCCTTTAAAGTCGTCCAAATGAAGTTCTTAGCGATGCATATTACTGATCAAAAATTACGTTTTAATATATTTACAGTAGGAAATTTACAAAATATCTTCATGGAACATGATCTTTACTTAATATCCTAATGATTTTTGGCATAAAAGAAAAATCTATAATTTTGACACATATTGCTACAAATATCCCCCAGCGACTTGAAACTGGTTTTGTGCTTCAGGGTCACATATGCTGATTTGATGCTCAGGAAATATTTCACTTTTGCGTTAATATTTTCTCTTGCATCTCTCTAGGTCAGAGTTCGGCTATTGGCTCTCCATTATTGGTGCCCTTCTCTCACTGGAGCTCAGAGCCGAGTCTGGCTCACTGTAGTCCCGATTCTTGCCCTCGCTCCAGCCCCTCCACTGCCCAGTCCTCAGCATTAGCCGCGCTCCAGCACCACATGCCCCTTTCGTTTCCAGATCGCCCCGTTCCCGTCCCCCTGCGCCGGAGCGAGTCGGTGGGCCGCAGAAACCTGCTCCGCCACCCCAACCCGCTGCCGCCCCTACTGTCCAACCGGGACTCTGACTACGAACTGGAGCCTCCCAACAGGGGGCGCAAAAGAGCCATCGACAACCAGTACATGTTCTTCTGACAGAGACAGAGGATGAAAAAGAAAACAAAAGAAGCCACAGATGAAAAGTGCTCCAGAATTCCCGCCTGGATGGAGAGCATGCGGCAGCCAAAAGAGTTCGAGTCGTGCGAGATTGCACACGAGACTCGGGGTAGAGGCACGGGTGGCACTCGTGTCTTGCACGCGTGTCTGAACGATACTGCCAGACACCTGACACCCAATCCTGCCAGCTGTCTACCTTGTGAATGTATTATACAGATGTTTCACTATCAAATCGGTGTAGAAAAACTAAAGTAGGAAGGTGAAGTAGACAGCTGCTTAGAGGATTTGTTGGAAGTAGCAGATGGGAACGTTTCACGATGGCTGGTGAGTAAGTCGTACACAAAGCAAGGGTCTATTCAAACACGTCTGTGTCTACACTGGAAGCGGCCGACATCGCAACAACTTGAGGCCGTCTGCACTGGATACGTTCACAGTCAGCAGGAAGCTCGAGGCTAGACTTCAGTAATCGACGATTACTAAAATGACAATCGATCAGACAAAAAATATCTTTAACAGAAATGCATTAAATTGATTTTGCATGTGATTGATTTAATAATTTGATGTATGTTCGTATTCGTACAACTGCATATGCTTATGGTTAGACATAACTAAATTATTTAAATTAATAAGTCAGACCAGCAGGCTAGACTTCAGCGATTATTAAAATGACGATAACATTTAAAAATATATTTTTCTACAGATATCCATTATAAAAATGTATTTTGCATACGATTAACTTTGTTAATATTGCATATGTTTGTATTCCTACAACTGCACATGCATGTTGTTAGAAATCTACTGGATACGTTCACAGTCAGCAGGAAGCTCGAGGCTAGACTTCAGTAATCGACGATTACTAAAATGACAATCGATCAGACAAAAAATATCTTTAACAGAAATGCATTAAATTGATTTTGCATGTGATTGATTTAATAATTTGATGTATGTTCGTATTCGTACAACTGCATATGCTTATGGTTAGACATAACTAAATTATTTAAATTAATAAGTCAGACCAGCAGGCTAGACTTCAGCAATTATTAAAATGACGATAACATTTAAAAATATATTTTTCTACAGATATCCATTATAAAAATGTATTTTGCATACGATTAACTTTATTGTTAATATTGCATATGTTTGTATTCCTACAACTGCACATGCATGTTGTTAGAAATAAAAAAAATCATTAAAATTAGTATAGAAGGCTGAACTTAAGCGATTAGCAAAATGATAATAAAATCACTTGAAAATTGTTTTCAATAGAAATCCATTATAGAATTGATTTTGCGTTTGATTAAATTTATAATACATTTTACATATGTCCGTATTCCTACAACTGCATCTGCATATGGATGAAAATAAAAAATGATTGTCAGATCAGAAACATCATGAGCTTGCTTTTGATATAACGGTCAGAATTTATTTAAACCTCTAAAGAATACAATTTATAACAAAGAAATTGAGCAAATGATATTTTTTAATAAAATCACTTCATTTTAGATATGAAATGGAGAAGCGAGCGTCCACATCAGGTGCTCGCAGTGCAGACAACTCCGTTGATTATGACCGGAGTAATTTAGTTTTGTTGCAGGTGTCTGGTGTAGATACGGTGTTAAACATCTAAAAGATTCAGATCGTTTTTAGTCTGGCTGCACACACACACACACACACTTTCGGATTGTTTATGTTCAGTTGTAGTAATACACAGGTTTCTCTATGTTTTGTGTATTAGAAAGCCAAATAATATAGACCATAGAACTACATTTTTACATCAATACTGCGAATCGTGTCATCGTGGATTCTAGAGGTTTACAGTTTAACTGACCAAAGAGTAATATTCACCAAACCAAACCAGCAATAGCTAGAATTATAGGCAATACCTTTTTATGCCTCAATTGTCATATTTTATAATGAATTTGTTTTAACCTGTGAATTCATTCTTTCTATCTGCTTTAACACACTTAACCTGTGTTTCATGGCTTCATTAGCTGTGGAAATACTACTTTTAAACTAACAGCTTCCAAATCTGACACCATAGTTGATTTTATGCTATTTGTCATTTTTCAGTAAATGCGTTACAAAAACAAAATGGAAAAAAAAAACATTGCTTGATGTTTTTGGAGCTTGTTCTCCTTTCTGTTTCTTCTTGAATCATTGTGAATGTCTTTATTTGTGGCTTAACACTACCACAATAATCAAATCTGTATCAAGCACAGATACCCAAATCACTTAATATCTCATTCATTGTTTTATGCAAATACATAGTTTCTAACATGATTTGTAATATGTACAGATTAAATTTCATATAGCTGACTCAATCAGAAAAAAAAACAGCTGCATTGTCTGGTAATGAATTGCTTACTCCAAGCAGGCCATATTGACAAAGTGCATCTCAAAGTCATTTGTGTTGTTTTATATTGTGACTGAAATGGGAAGATCTGATCCTGGAGCAGTGTTGTGCACTTTGAGATGCTTTGAACATACAGGCCCTGAATTGCACCACTTTGCTTTAGAGTCACATCTTAGGTCCCTCAAAGTTCAACTGATGAATGTATGTCTTCTCTCTATACTGTTGTTATTAAGAGACGTATAAGAGCACTGTAATCTCCTGAGCTTCTCCCGCAGCTACTTTAACCATTTCATCATAGCTTTCTGATCAAACTTTCTAGTTACTTTGCATGTAGCAATATTGTATGTATGCATATTAAATTATATCAACTGTATATTTGATCCTTTTTTAGGGGGAAAAAAAATAAAGTCAATGTTTCAATCCACTAAGTATTTGTGCTTCTTTATGTTGAGTGTATTGAACAAAATAGAAGAAATATTGTTTTATGCACACACACTATTATTTTTCATAATGTTTCAGATTGCACTCAACACTTAACTAATTTACTTTCCAATTTGTGCCAGAGGTTAATTGTTAAATAAGGTCATTTAATTTCGGACGTTATGTATTTATATAGAGTAGAAAATTATATAGAATTATATTTTGCATAAAATTAAGAAAACGTCTCAGGGTACACATGTAACCATGGTTCCCTGAAAAGGGGAACGAGACACTGCGTCCCACAGTGGGCGCTATCAGGAATGCCTCTGGCATGAACAGTGTCTGAAGCATGAGTCTAAACATGACAATGAACATGACATTGGCAGGCGGCAGCCTATGACGTCACAACTGGTGTGGCCGAGTGTATAAAAGGGCACCTGTAAAATACGTCATCCACTTCGTGTCTGAAGGAGACGTGCAGAAATTCCTGAAGCATGGAAAAGGGACGCAGCGTCTCATTCCCCTTCTCAGGGAGCCATGGTTACATGCGTTCCCTCTCAAATGGGAACTCTACGCTGCATCCCCCAGAGGGTGCTATGGGGAACTGTATACCCACGCCGCCATGCTGAAGGGATGAGTGCCAAAGACCTCAAAGAAATAACTCTCTGTAGTGAGAGGACGCCTGACGACACTCACAGTAGATGATCGAGCTCTATGAGCGGAGGCCTCAGCATGACAACTCTCTAAAATGAGAGGAGGCCTAACTATGCCCCACGCTCAGGACATCCTATAAGGAGGCTCACAAAGAGCCTACAACTCACAGATTCTGTCCTAGCGGAGCTCTGATGAGCGGAGGCCTCAAAGAAATAACTCTGTAGCGAAAGGAGGCCTGACGACACTCGCAGTAGATGGCCGAACTGTAGGAATAGAGACCTCAGCAGCCTCAGGCCTAAATATAATATCTCTCAGTGAGAGGCAGCCTAGTAGCACTCCATACTACCTAGCCAATACCAAGCCGAGGGCTTAGCATGATGACTCTCTAAAACGAAAGGAGGCCTCACTACGTCCCACGCTTAGGAGCTCAGGAGCCTACCGGAGCTCTGGCGAACGGAGGCCTCAAAGAAAGAACTCTCTGTAGCGAGATGAGGCCTGATGACACTCGCAGTAGATGATCGAGCTCTAGGTGCGAAGGTCTCAGCATAATGAGAAGAGGAAATTGAGAGGAGACCAAACTGTGCCCCACAATCAGGACATCTTGCAGAGCAAAAGCAATAACTAAGGAGACTCACAGAGACCCTACTACTTAGTAAACTGTCCGAAATAGATGACGCATTCACAACCAGCCTCTAATGCTGAACCATCAGTAAGGCAGATTATGGAAATAAACATGCTGCCAAAAACACCATAGGCTTGAGGCTTAGACCTGGACCGGTGCGGTATAAAGGTTTTAAAAGCCGCGGAGCGCACCTTCGCCTCCCAAAACTTCCCAACCACCATCTCGAAGGATGTGCTGAAAAGCTTGGAAGGCGAAACCGGAGCATCGTGGAGAAGACTTTTCTCCTTCTCCTCGATGTCTGCCAGGTTAACCCAAATATGTCTCTTTGTAGCCATGGATAGGCCGATCGCTGCAGCAGTTTGTTTTGTGGCACAGAGAGCCAAATCTGGGGTACGGCGCAGCTCCTCCACCACCTCCGAGGAGAGTCCCTGGTCCAGGTCCTTCAGCAGGTCAGCCTGGTAGGCCTGCAGCATGGCCATCATGTGCAAAGCCCTCCCCAGCCTGACCCGCTGCCGCATATGCTCTGCCATTCAGCTTTAATGTAACACACAGCGACTTAGTCAGCAGAGACAACATCTTCAATGTGGATGCCTCGCCAACCGAGAGATAGCTAGCCAGCGTCTCTTCATTTGGAGGCATCGACACATAACCATATTCCTGCATCCCCTCCACATCAGCATTGTTTGCCTGTGAATAATGAATGCGAGCAGAATAAGCACCTCAGTGTGAATATCTGGGAGAAAAGGGAAGACTCGTACGAGCTGGGCGGTTATGTTCTGACAAAAAAAAGAGTTCATCGAGGCAGCCACAAGGGGGCTCGTGCTTCCATGGCAAATCTAACATTTCCGTGGCACGAGACATAACCAACAACTCATCTAATGTTGGGCAGGCGGGCTGTGAGTGCTCAGAGACAACGTCAATCTCAGCAGCCTCTTCCTGTTCAACTTGGCTTGAGGCGAGGAGTGCGCTCGCTGCCGGATCAGATGATGTAAGAGACAGCACATCATCATCCGGCAGCTCACTCTATTCATACCTTTCTCAAACTTATCAGCAAGCTCCACCTGCGAACCCTATGATTGCAGTCTCCTACTCGCCTCGGCTCCAGTGGGTCCTGAAGTGCGAGGTGCAGATGGCTGTCCCGATTCCCTCAAGAAAAGGGACAGACGAGAACGAAGCTTTCTCAAAGAAAAGTGCTCGCATTGCATTCAAACAGCCCCCTCAAGGACTGAGCGTGCATGCTCCTCACCCAGGCACATAACGCACATTATATGTGTCATCAGGTGTGAAGAAACATTGACACGGATGAACACACTTTCTAAATTTTGAGGAGCTAGTGCTTGCCATAGTTTGCCTGTTTAGACACACACTGAAACAAACGGTCTCCTGAAGACAAGAAAGAGGGTGACGCATTTTACAGGTGCCCTTTCATACTCTGGGCCTCACCAGTTGTGATGTCATAGGTTGCCGCCTGCCAATGTCAAGTTCATTGTCGTGTTTAGACTCATGCTTCAGACACCAGTCATGCCAGAAGCATTCCCCATAGTGCCCTCTGGGGAACGCAGCGTAGAGTTCCCATTTGAGAGGGAATTAAATCTTTAATTTGAAGGCCATAAATATTTGTCATAATATCTTACATGATATGTGATGTTTCCTCATTTTACTGTTTACTTTAAAAGTAATTTTTTCACAATATTACAATTACTGTAATATAATATCACCATAAATTGAAGGCAGTAGGCCTACACCAAATATTTTACAATTTAAATCTTATATGATTTTTGCATTATTGTAATTATGGGGTAATTAAAATGCAAATATTAAACACTTCAGGTGACTGTAAATAACTGTGGTATATGGTATAAATATATTGTTTGATACAGTGTATGTTGCTTGTACATATCATATATAGTCTATTGTTTTCAATCATTTTACGCTTGTATTATATTCATTTTTAACAACACATCAAAAGTGCCATGGTACTTTACCATTGTATTTTGGACACTGTACAGTAAATACCACGGCATATTTAAAGTACCAAGTATTACCATGTGATGATACCATAACTTTACCATCCGCCACAGTAGCCTACTTTTTTGTAAGGGTATAGTACCAAACGGAATGTTTTTGGGTATGGGACCCTACATGCACTATGGTATTACCATGTAAAAACCATGGTACATGAATTTCCATATTACCATCTGATGCCATCATCACTGTACTATGGTACTGCCACAGTATTTTAGACATAGCCTATACTTTTGAGATTTATCAGAAAAAACTTTTGTACGGGCCCCTCAAACGTTATGGGCTTCAACTCGGTTAACTTACCTTGGGCCCTATTGTTAATTTTCTGAAGTAAATAACGTTACGTGAATCGTGACTATTCACAAGCTGTTTTACGGTATAGGCTAAATGCTTGGAAATGTTATTTAAAATGTTCAAGTCCATTCATTATTTGTAGCACGCAAGCCACTCAATAATCGCAGCTTTGTGCTTTGTTACTACAAAGTCTCAGCCTTCTGTCAATTTTATGATAAAATACAAACAATAAATGTGTTTTTATGCTCTTTAATCTGTAGTGAGATAATTTGCCTCAGTTCAAGCAGCATATGAATCAATGATATTTTCCTCTTTAATATTTGCAGCACGAAATAAACATGAAAATTTGAATGCATGAAAAAAAAATCAGAACAATTTAATACAAATGAATGTCTCGTGAAAATCAATCAGAGTTTTAAAAAACGTCAATAAGTCTACATTTTATTGCTGTTTTTTGTTAAATGTGAAGAATGACAGATGCCACAGACTTTTTTTTCGGCAGAGTAGCCTATAGGTGGAATTTTCACATTAACTTCACGCAATATAACATGATTTTATTATGTAAAATATTATGACGTTAATCGTATTTATTTAGGCTAGTTATTTTTCAACGTGGCACTAAAATGCTGCCGTAGGCTATTTGAAGCTACTGAATGCAAACCCAAAAAACAAACAAAATAAATAAAAAACAAACAAAAAAGTAAAAAATAGTAAGGGGATATTTAATTTTTTTGTTAATAAACTAGTGTTTTCTGAGTCAGTGTCACAAATATGAATTTGACAAACCTGACTCGCCATCTCCTCATTGGATGTGCCTTTAGAGAGAAATGCATCTTTACGGATTACATAATGAAAGAGTTTTTTGATTTGAATTATTTTGTTTTAAAATAGTAATTTAAAGCATTATATAGATACTGTATATTTATCATGTCGGTAAGGCAAGTATTAGCTGAGTTTCAGTTCATCATTGTGAGGCGCTCCTGCTCAAGATAGAGACGACAGAAAGCGCATCAGAAAGCGTTTGTTTTCCTTCTTTTACAAAAGCACAAGGTTTTGTTGATATTGTGAGAGCACACAAATAAAAGTAGGCTTTGCAGTTCCGAATTAGGTATAGGCCTACTCTTACCTTTATGAGCAAAATTTTTTTTTTAAGATTCCACTGTTATTAAAAAAAATGCAAGTTATCGCGCTGGCGCCTCCCATATCCTGCCAAGCGCGATTCAGCTTTCACTCTCCGCACAAACGATTGGATATGCGCATAACAGCGCTCATTTATCTAGGTTAAATGTTTAAATTAATACTGTGAAACTGAACTATTTTAATGGCTGCAGCAGCAGCAGCTGTGTAATGGGGAAGAGAGAGAGAGAGAGAAAAGACTCGGGCTGAGAATTCTGATAAGCTGTCGTACAAGGGAAATTGCAGAGAAATTCATTTCCTCGTTTCAATTAAAAGTTCCCCTCGGCCCGGCGGGCCCCCAATCTGCCCGAGCCCATATGCACCTGCATACCCTGCACACATAGGCGGAGCATGTGTAAGGCTTGGGAAGGCTTAGCCTTTCCCTGGCCATGGGGACTTGGGGCAAAAATGCCACTAAATTGGACAAAAATGCCCTTGCACAAACAAATTAAATCTATTACGTCTGTTGCTAACAAAGTGAATATGAATAGACAGTGTCGATTGCGGCATTAAATTAAGATCTGCTCATGTTGCACCGCATTTCATTTTAGGCGATTTTACAGTGTTGTCCATTTTAACCAATCACACACATATCTGTTGAGCTTAGGAATGCAATGGCCAATCAGAAGCTCAACAGATATGTGTTGTCCATTTTAACCAATCACACACATATCTGTTGAGCTTAGGAATGCAATGGCCAATCAGAAGCGTTCAGATGAGTCATCGTTGAAACAGCGCGTTCGCTGACTGAATTCCGGACTCTTGCGAATTCTCTCATCATAAACAACAAAGCGCAGATGGACGTACAATGTAAGTAAGAGATTCATTTAACAGCGTATACAGCTTCAGTGTTTATAACCATAGTTTTGTTTTTGAGAGTGCTTAAACTCGCGATAGATCAATGTTCGTGATAATGTCACTTTCTGTATATAATTTATTCGCTGTTTGAATAACAGTGGAAAGGAAACGTTATATAATTATACATTTCTAATGTTTTTATTAAATTGTAATCACGTTAAATACAAATTCAGTCACATTCAACTTTTTTTTTTTTAGCCTACATGACACCCATGTCTGGTTAGACGGGTTTATGATGTTTAGGCTGCTTTTAGCCTTACCCTGGAGTTGGTTCACCCTCCGCCTATGCTCGGTGAGAGAGATTTCACTAAGTAGCCTACATGCTCCTGGATCAACCCCAAGAGTGTCATTCCAATCAACCAATCAGAATTGAGGGATAACTTTTCAGGAAAGGTCAGTTTTAGGCTTACCATCAGGATTAGGTGCTTCTACACTCTTGTTAATCAGCTATCATTGCCCTCTGATTTTAGGAATAAATTATGGGTTAGGTTTAGGGGTAGGGATTGGGTTAAGTCTGTATTTTTGGACAGTAATGTTGATCCAGGAACATGTCTTACTTGGCAAAATCACAGCGACCGCCTATGCACCCAGACGCCACTGCTTTGATGGATGCATAGAATTCAGTGACTTCCAATCACCTTAGTCACCTGCTACGTTCCAGATCTGACGGACAGAAAGACCTGCCAAACCAGAGCAGAGTTTGAAAGCAACTCGTGTGTGTGTGTGTGTGTGTGTGTGTGTGTGACGTCACCGCCCCACGTCAGCACCTTGCGGAAATACCGAGAGAGAGAGAGCGCAGGTCGATCGGAACCAGTACGTTGCTCGGGATGTTTTCACACTAGAATAAAGACTTTTAAATCCAAATTAACGCTCTATTATTTAGTTGCGCCACCAGTTGAGTTAGTGCACTTGTTCTCCCATCCGGTGCCGGTTCCGGTTAATAGGCGCAACTGAAAAAGAGGGACAGAATGTCCCTGTTCCAGTCAGCGCTCGATTTCCTGGCCGGGCCCGGCGGATCCGGTGCCGCCGCCAGCCGGGATCAGAACGACTTCGTCGGGCAGGTGGTGGAGCTCGGAGATCTGAAGCTCCGGATCAAACGAATCATCGCGGAAGGTAAAAGATCCATTCAAAATAGCATAAGGCTAGTCATGCTAACCCCTGCTTATGATGCTAACATGTATTTTATTTAAAACAGCTCTAAATTTGACGGTGAAATGTCCGTAATATATTCTCATTGACATATATAAACATTAGGTTTAGTATATATGTGAATATTTGTGATTATAGTTGAATGACATTGGACTTAAACTAGCTGGCTAAGTTGTTAGCAAGTCACTTGGCTGTGATACACCTGACATGAACTCAATATATTCATCTGTATGTTCTCGAGGCATTCAGGAATATGTATGTATATGTATATTGTTATATTCCGTGACTGAATATGAATAGTCACGTTAATATAGTTAATATTCCATAAGTTCATCTGTGTTAGAACTGATCTTAATTTATTTCAATGCACCTGTGTACAGAATGTATTCATACACCATGGTATTTACATGGTATGTGTTAAAAACCACAAACAAACAAATATGATGGTACCGGTACCACTGGTATGTTTTGTTAGTGGCTTGATTCCTTATAAAATGTACTGTGGTAGTGCCATGCTATCACATATTTATGGAAGCCTGTTTCTGCCATGGAATAAAAATATAAAAGTAATTGCGAATTTTATTTCAAAATTCTGAAAGAATTTCTAACTCACAATTCTGACCTTTTTTTTCTCTGAATTCTGAGTTTACATCTTGCAATTCTTTCCACCACAAAATAAAAAATTGTGTGATACTCAGAATTATGAGGGAAAAAGTCAGAATTGTGAGATTAAAAAATTGCCATAACCTTTTTTTTTAAATTCCGTATTAGAAATGGGCTTCCATATATATTAACGCTAATTAGTACTGTAAATTGCCATATTAATATAATCACATATTAGTATTTTCCAGAAGGCCAACAATTCACTAAAAATGTTTTTTTTATTGGTCTTATGAAGTATTCTAATTTGTTAACATAGGCTTTTGTTAAATGTGAGCCAAAATCATCACAATAAAAAAAAACCCCAAAGACTTAAACTACTTCAGTCTGTGTGCATTACATTTATTTAATACACGAGTTTCACAATTTGAGTTGAATTACTGAAATAAATGAACTTTTCCACGACATTCTAATTTATTGAGATGCACCTGTACATTCGTATTTTAATTATTGTCTGTCAAAGTGGGGTGTTTTGGTCAGAGCTATTGAAATCTGTTGGATTATGAAAGTAACATGTCCATAATTGTTCAGCCCATCATTGACTTTCACTTTGACCCACTGGCTCAGGTGTGTCGACATTTACAGGCCTTGAATGGAAACACAGGGCATTCTGAGTGAACAGGAATGATTTGCATGGTGATGGTGAGGCGTTGTGGTTAGAGATCTAGGCTGTTAACCAGAAAGTTGAACTCTGCAACTGACGAACAATCACCTTCAGGTTTCTGTCTGTATGATGAGGTTCTTTGGATGAAGGCATCATTTAAATGACAAAGTATCTGACATAGTATTGTTTACATAATTCTTTGCATCACAATGGCATTTTTGGGCTGTAATGTTGACCAATATTATTAGAAATGATGTCCAGAAATGGCTTTCATTTGAAAAGAACAGTACAGCAGTTTATGGAGCAGTAGGCTATATGTTTTATTTACCTGAAGTCTCTTGCTCCTCCTGTTACCTTTTGTACTGTTCTTTGCAAATTTGCGGTGCGTGTGAATGTCAGTGCACTGTAACGTGAAACTCAAAAGCTTCTTTTGATTCGTGCAGCCTGACTCGGGCCTCTGCTGGTATTCATTTACCCGTTACCATGGACACAGGCAGTTTTGGGCACTTGAGGATTGTTTCACAAGTGTCCATAAATACCTGGCCTTGTCACTTTTGTTCATGTAAAGACATACACACCTGACTGACACAGTCAACATCTGTTCAAGGAGCCATACTTACAGTAGTTCATTGTTTGCTTTAAGAATCAGTCATAAAATGCTTGTATGATATGAAATAATCATTCTTAGTTTTATATCTTCATGCATAAATAAACATTCCTATTTGCTTCCTTTATACATGTTCCTTATTGTTCATGAAGCATGTTTTGCATATCATTGTGTGTTATTCCAAAGAAAAAAATTTTGTTCATCTAGATATAGATATATAGATATGTATATATAGATATAAAATGGATACGATGCATCGATGCCACGCGAAAAATATCGATATCTGTAGTATAAATAGGCACCTTTATTTTGGCACTGTCCACATTTTCACATAATGTCCGTCTATGCATTACCGCCAAGGCGTGCATTCTCGTTCAAACTCGGGTATCAGGACTCGATATAAGAACTGCCCGAAGGCACAAGGTGAGCATAAAAGACGCTCGGGTAAGATATCGGCCAAATTTTCTTATCAGACCGATACCGATAAGATAAAAAATGAGCATTTATCGGCCGATACCGATATGGTGGCCGATATATCGTGCATCCCTAATTATTACATTTCTGTAGCATACCTGAAAATGTATTTTAGACTGAGCTGCAAAACCTGAAAAGCACTGTTTATTGAACTTGTGTCTTTGTTGTATTGTATTTATTTTCTGCTATTGCTTGTAATTTGGTTATCTTTAGAAAAGATGTTTAGCACTGAGCCCATAGTAGCAGCCAGAATTGTTTTTCCAATAGTTTATTTTCTTTATTATTAAAAAAAATAATAATAATGCGTAGGCCTAGTTTTTTTTTTTGTTGTGAATGTCCCAATTGAGGTACAGGATGTGAAAATTTCAGATAAATGTTCATGTTATTTATTTTTGGTTGCATTTGTGAGTTAATAAAAATGTAGATGGTTGTTTAAAATAGATATATAATATCGATATATCGATCGATATACTCCTGTATCGAATCGTATCGTAGAATTTTTTGAGGTATCGACAAATACCGTATCGCTGGGTATGAGAATTAATATCGTATCGTATATCGTATCGTGACGAACCATCTGATTTACACCCCTATTAAGAACTGGTTTCACCAACAACTAGCAGTAGACTTCTGAGATTAAAATGAGACCAATCTACCTTTTTGTAGCTGAATTAAAAAAGTTAGATGACTAACTTTTTAAGACTAGTCTAAGAAGTTTATGCAACTGGCCCCTGATTCCAGACACTTCTGCATATCTGTAGAAGTAAATAAAATAAACAGAAATGCGTCTGTTTCACGTCCTGTTGGAGCCTCAATCCCAAATCAGCAAAACTGAATCTGCCAAAATCCTCATTCAGATTGGTGCCATCACAGTCAACCTAAAATAAACCTAATGATGAAATATGTTTCCTCTCTTACAGGTGGCTTTGCGTTTGTGTATGAAGCCCAGGATTTGGGCAGCAGTAAGGACTATGCGCTCAAGGTATGATGACGTCATCACATATGAACTGTGTTAACATTCAGATTATTACAGTGGAGTCAGTATTGACTGCCATTATATGTACTAATGAGTTAATTATGCACTACACAGAAGTGAATGAATTAATGTTATTACAAAGCAATATTTACCCCCCTGAAGATTTTTTTTTTTAAAGAATCTTTGAGGACATTTTTTGCCGTATACAACCATATAATAGTGTTTTTATTGTGAGCAAAAACTAAAAATGGTCTTCGATTGAAATAAAGCTGAAGAATAATAATATAAATATTTGACTTAAACATCATAAATCTAAACAGAAATGAGTAATGTTGCTAACTAACTAACAGAAATAAAAAAGTTTATGGACTAAAATTACTATAATTGAAACAAAAATAAAGCTAAAACAGAAAAATGTTAAATGATTAAAAATAATAAACTTAAACAAAAATATAGTTTAGTATAAAAATAAAAACTATTTCAAAACATTAATAAATGCTGCAATAGTACAGTATATAAATAATACTAAAATAGCACTGACGTATAAAAACTTGTAATGCATCGTCCATTTTTCTGAAGTTGTTCAAAGCTGTACAAAAGCACTAGATAGGCCTAGAATAAAATATGACATCAAAGATTACATAACTTGTACAGAAAATGAGGAGATTCATTTGAGGCATTTGTCCCCGTATTTGGGGGCATTTTTCTCACTTTTTGTGGTAATTTTTCCTTGTGTGAAATAGTCAACAACAGATTCAAGAAAGATCTGAAAAACGTTTAGATTTTTATTGATTTGTATGTTTGTGTGCAGAGACTTCTCTCCAATGAAGAGGAGAAGAATAAAGCCATCATTCAGGAAGTCTGCTTCATGGTAATAATTAAACATGTTAATTTAACAAGTTTACTACATTATCACACAACACTATAACTAGGCACTTTTTTCATGCCTGGTTAGGCAAAGCTGTTGCTGGCATCTCTCACATCTGTAGAGCAGCATTTCTCTGTCACACATGTTAATTTAACAAGTTTACTACATTATCACACAACACTATAACTAGGCACTTTTTTTCATGCCTGGTTAGGCAAAGCTGTTGCTGGCATCTCTCACATCTGTAGAGCAGCATTTCTCTGTCAGTTTGTAGAAAAATAAATAAATAAATCTGAGCATTACCCAGTAAAACAAAACCTTGCTAAAAAGCTATAGGATGCTTGATCTGCTTCTCCATGTGGTCTGTTTAGAAAAAGCTGTCTGGTCACCCCAATATTGTTCAGTTCTGCTCCGCTGCATCCATCAGTAAAGAAGAGTCGGACACGGGCCAGGCTGAGTTCCTCATCCTCACTGAGCTGTGTAGAGGTGCGTACACTACATCCCATTCACACAGTAGCAGAAACTGATGGAGAAAACCCTTCTTAAAGGCAAATTTAATTGTGATTCTTTCAAATTCAGGTCACACTTTTTACAAGTATTGTTATTAGATGACAGAATGTAATTTATGCATCCTAAAAATTATTTGTTGTTTTATAAACATTTAAATCGCACATTAGGCAGTTTTTAATTCAACTTTATATATAATAAGTATATAATTATCTCTATTCCCAATTCGTTGTTGACACGGTGGATGTTTTTTTATGACAGATTAATTTAAAAATACATCAAATGAATGAATGAAGACAGCAGGTTAAGTGAAAATAAAATGAATATGTAATATAGTGCATATACAGTATTTAGCAAACACAAAATGTGCCATTGGAGAAGAGCTCTTTAAACATCACCGTTTCGGTCAAAACAGATCCTTTCGGGCTGCTGAAATTGAATGCATCACTGATAAATATAAAAAATTGCATAAAGAGGGAAGCTCTTGACTGACTTAACACATTCCACTCTCTCCTTCTGACTTTCTGGCACTGGTGTCGGTTTCCTGTGTTCACATTGACCTCCGCCCTCTGTTTCCTGCAGGCCAGCTGGTTGATTTTGTGAAGAAGGTGGAGCAGAGAGGACCCATGTCATGTGACACGGTGCTGAAGATCTTTTACCAGTCATGTCGTGCTGTGCAGCACATGCACAAACAGTCTCCAGCAGTCATCCACCGCGACCTGAAGGTGAGGCCCCACAGACTAAACCCCTGTTTATTTACAGAACATCAAAGAAGACTTTATTTATTAGCTTATATTTAATATGGCCTAATAATGCAGTAGTATGAGTCTCTTGAAAACATAATCCCTAATATCAAAAGAAAAAAGAACTCAGAAAAAACAGGTAATTTCAGTTAAGCACATTTTCTTGGCCTTTATTTATTTTATTTTAATATTTAATAATCATAATAATAATACAATTTTATATAATATGTTTTATATTTTATTTTAATTTGTTTCTTTGTAATTTATTATTCTCAGTGGTGATTCTAATTTGTATTACTATAATGTTTGTTTATTTACCATAATTTTTTTATTTAATTTATATTTAAATCAAATGTTTTAATCTAAATCAGCATAATGCAGTACATTGAATACTACCATCACGCTGTGTATATATTGTGGTAAAAGTACAGTAACACATGGCCTTAGATGACTTATTGCTTTAATAAATATAGCAATGTGTATTTTCTCACTTGAAATGATGTGCCGAATGATCATATACATTGTTCAGTAACATTTCTTCTTCTCTGTAGATTGAGAATTTGTTGATCAGTCATCAGGGCACTATAAAGCTGTGTGACTTTGGCAGCGCCACCATCTTGGCACATTACCCAGACTACAGCTGGTCTGCTCACAAGAGATCTATGGTGGAAGACGAGGTAGAAACGCAACAAATTCTCTTCTCCAAGCAGCCCATTCAGCTTTATGCTACATAAATATTAATACCAGGTTAACATCACCGTGACATCACTGTCCTCTGATTGGTTCGTTTTGCCATAGTTTTGATTGTAGTTGATGGATTGTCACATTAATTGTGGAAATTGTTACATTGATGCGTGGCCAGAAAGAAATATTTTGCGGTGATTGTATTAAAATCTCTGGCTGTTTCCCGTGGAAGCATTCACTGATTTAATTGTTTTGTTTATTAAATTAGCTTGTCTGGTTTCTGGTCCTCTTAAATCAGTTATTGGTAGTAAATTGAAACCCACGCAATTCAGAAAGCCTGCCATTTCTCTGCACATGAATGTCTGTTTGTGTTTATTTAATGCATTTTTGTTAGCAGCTAATTCTAATGAGGACCTTTTTTTTTTTTTTTTTTTTTTTGCATATTACAACCTTCCAGCAAAGCTTGTAATAAAGTTTTTATTCTTTTATTCTTCTAAAATATTAACAGTTTGAAAACATTGATAAAATTACACTACTGTTTAAAAAAATTGGGATAGTGTGATTTAAAAAAAAAAATCATAATTTCCACAAAAATATTAAGAAGCACTGTTTTAAATGGATAATAATAAGAAATATTTCTTGAGCAGCAAATCAGCATATTAGAATGATTTCTGAAAGATGATGTGACACTGAAGACTGGAGCAAAATTCAGCTTTGCATCACGCGAATACGTTACATTTTAAAATATTTTCAAACATAGAACATTTATTTGACATTTTAATTGTATTTCAAATTAGTACTGTACTGTTTTTTTTTAATCAAATTAATGCGGCCTTGATGAGCATAAGATACTTTTTTCAAAAATATTACAGACCCCACACTTTTGAAGACTTGATATATAGTGTAATTTAGCACGGAATATAGTGAACTATATTTCACAATATTACTGGTTTTAATGTATTTTTGATCAAATAAACCGCCTTGGTGAGCAGAAGAGACTTCTTTAAAAAAACATTTCTGACCAAACTTTTAAACAGTAGTGTAAACTGTTGAGCAAGTATTTACATGCTTTAATCATCAATTATTATAATCCATGCATGCAGTCTTTTAACATAAAGACCCACTAAATTATAAATAATTTCCCTTTCTCTTATTCTCTCTTTATCCCTCAGATCACTAGAAACACGACTCCAGCATACAGGACACCAGAGATGATTGACCTCTATTCCAACTACCCAATAAACGAGAAACAAGACATATGGGTGAGTTAGTATAGTTATGAGCAGATCCAGGTATAACCTGAAGACTTTTTCCACATTTTCTGTGCTAAGTTGAACGGTAAATCCTGCTTGATATTTGGAAGGGTTGGAAAAATAAGAAGGCTGATAAGGACATTTGGTTTAGAGACAAAGCAAGTTGATGCAAAATTTTAATGAAAGCTTACAAAGGCTTTTTGGTCCTAACCAGGTGAAGGAGGCTTTTTGGCATTACTTAAAGCACCTGGTTAGGATACAGTGTAACAGGTTTTTCCCCTTTGTCCTTGTTGTGTTTTGAAAGAGTCTTGGTTTGTTCTCTAGGCTCTGGGCTGCATCCTGTACCTGCTCTGTTTTAAGCAGCACCCATTTGAAGAGGGAGCCAAACTCCAGATAGTAAACGGCAAATACAACATTCCTCAGAATGACACCAAGTACACAGTCTTTCACCAACTCATCCGTAAGTATCCTGCAGGAACTTAACTTCATTCCCTCTTCCCAAAATCTCTCCTGCATCATATCGTCATTTTGTTTGTTGTGCATTTGCTGTGTGGCAAAAGCCTTGTGTGTTTGTTCCAGGATCAATGTTGAAAATCAACCCAGATGAGCGACTGTCAATCAGCGAGCTTGTTAGCCAACTGCAGGAGATCGCTGCAGCCAGAAACGTCAACCCAAAATCACCCATTACTGAGGTACAAACCATCTAACAAAAATGGTCTCTTAGATCAAGTCTTCACTGGTCATTCATAGGTTTCATGTTAAATGCAAGAGACTAGTTTATAGTAGTCAATCAAAATGCTTTTTTTCCTTTTTTTTTTGGAGAATTGCTGATGCCAATTTATGTTCAGAATGGCCAAAATACAGTACATGTTTAATTAAAGCAAATAATAATATGTACACAAAATTTCAATTAACACTTTTATAACTCCTTTAAATAATAATAATTTTTTTTTAATGTATTTACAATTTTATTAAAATTTTTAGGGGTGCCACTAATGACTATTTTTATTTCGATTAATCTATCGACTAATTCATCGATTAATCTAAACGATTAATTTCCCACACACAAAAATCAACAATTTTACTTATTTTATTAAACTGTTTCATTAAACCAAATGAAATCCAAAAGTAAAGTGCAACATAAAGTGCAAGAAGCAAGTGTCCATCTCATAGTTCAAATCACTGAAATCAAAGTTCAATATTATAGTGTAAGAATGATAACATATCCACGTGTTCTAGTCTACTAATAATAAAAATATAATCAAAAAACACTTTTTAAAGGAGTATTTACCAGAATTTATTTAGGAGAAAAATGTAAATGTGCAGTATTTCTGGAAAAAATAATAATAATAATAATTGGAGATGCTTTTGATTATTAAAATTTAATGGAACCATTCAAATGGAATCCAGAAAATAATGAAAAACATAATTTGGTAAAGATAAAACTGTAAAACTCAATTAATTAGACAGGCTTTTTGATTGATAAAATTTAATTTAACCATTAAAACAGAGTATAGAAAATGAAAATGGAAAAAACTGAATTTGGATATAAAACGGATTTCATAGTGCCCTATAATTATAATAATTTTTTTTTGTGGTAATGAAAATAGATGTAAGTGAACAATAGCCTTTAAAATTACTTAAAATACATATATAATAGCAATGAGACAATAATAATTAGTTTAAAAAAAGTATCAAAAGCAAGAAATCATATGGTTTTATTGAACAAAATTGTTAAAATACATAATGTATTATAAACAATAGAGATAATGTACATTACGCATTACAACAAAGGCCTGCAGGGGGCGCCAAAGGCCTGACTATTGTTTTTACACATTGCTGTGCGATCTAATACTTGTTTAATATTGACCAAGCACCATTTCATTCAAATGTCCACTTAATCTTTAATATTTGACCATTTCTTTAGGACAGAAATGCTATAGCCACTGTAATTAAATGAATATGTGGACATCAAAACGTGTAAACTCAGAGTGAGGGTTTGAGCTTTTATTTTTAAACCGCAATGTATTCTCCTGTGTTTGTGTAGATTTATAAATGATTTACCTTACAAATCTGACGAAATGGCACAAGTTGCATTCCCAGATGAACGTTATAATAAACCCAAACTCACAACAACATGCAGAGATGGAGTTTAAGACGCTCCACACATATAAATAACAGCTCCTGTGGAACTACTGTGAACGGAGCCGCTGTGTGACGCATGTACTTAACCTACACGCATGTAAATAATTAAAGCGCATATACTGTATTAGAACTGCATCGCATATAATTATTTAATTAAATTGTAGCGTTTGTGAATTCACAATTATGCTTAATTATGCTTAATATATCATGCAGCCTTGGAAAACAGACTAATAATGTGTTTTATACATTCTCGTCCGTGAAATGCGCCACTTCCGGTATTTTGCCGGTTAGTCGACGCGAGCAAAATGAAGTCGAGGATTTTCAAAAACCGAATAGTCTAATAAAATCGACGAATCGCGACAGCCCTAAAAATTTCTAAAAATGTGCGTAATCCACAAAGATGGCTGTTGATTGATTTTGTAACTGGCATTAGGCGGAAAGCTGTTAATTTAAAATAATATATATATTTAAAATAATATGAATAATATAATAATATAAATTATATATTTATATGTATATATGTGTGTGTTGTACAGCTTTCCATTGGTGTATGGTTTGTTAGGATAGGACAATATTTGGCAGAGATACAACTATTTGAAAATCTGGAATCTGAGGGTGCAAAAAAAATCGTCTTTAAAGTTGTCCAAATTAAGTTCTTAGCAATGCATATTACTAATCAAAAATTAAGTTTTTTATATATTTACAGTAGGAAATTTACAAAATATCTTCATGGAACATGATCTTTACTTAATATCCTAATGATTTTTGGCATAAAAGAAAAATCTATAATTTTGACACATATTGCTACAAATATCCCCCAGTGACTTAAGACTGGATATATATATATATAATATGCATTGCATGTAAATACATTCATATAAACTAATTTTAATGATTACAAATGATATGTTTTAAAATGTTAAGTTGTTCTTAATATAATATATTTGTTTATTTAGAATGTGAATTATTATTTATATAATGCCATTTAGTGATTACAAATTATATTTTGTATTTTTTGTAAATGTAATAATTATTAAATATTTGCTATGTATTTATGTAATATAATTTGTATAGTATAGTATTTATTAATATTCATTAAATATTATAAATGTGCTGCTGTCAATAAATAATAGTAATAATGCACTTAAGCTTTAGATTACATAAATAAATACATTACATTATTTAAATTTAAAATATAAAAAATAGTTTGCAATCATTCAGTTGTGCATATCATTGCAAAATGTATTTTATCTAATGCAATAACATATCAACAATTGCCCTTTTGGCTCTTAAGTATCAGCATCAGCCATTGATTGAAAAACCTGCAATGATCAACCACTAGTTTCAATTCATATTGATTTTAGTAATCTCCCCTTCAGAGCTTCTGTTTGATCACCCGACTGGTTCAGTTGGTTGAATGAGGCTCTTTTGGTGCTTCATTTGAAACAAACCCCTCATTCTTTGACGCTCAGACACACACACACACACACACACACACAGACGAGCAGAGTCCCACATACTGATCACAACTCTCTGAAGAGCCATTTAGAGACACCGCCACACTCTTCCTTTTGCGTTCTGTCGTTCTTTCCTCTCCTCCCTCCCTCCATGACCTCCTGGAGACAAAGCAGCATCTCATCCCTCTTTTTCTCTCTGACCTAATGGCCACTGATCTCACTACATAAGACAGAAACAGAGGAAAGACTGGTAAGCAAGAGGGAGGACCCAGCCTGTTTGCTCAAAGAACGACAAACAAATCATCCGTTCTAGTTATGATCTAGTTAAGAGCATTCAAACTGCAGTGTTTGAGTGCAATAGTCAGTGTTATGCTCCTGTGTGCACACATGGCGGAGAGGGTGGTTTTAGATTAGTCTGATCTGGATTAAGAAGTGGTTTCTCTCTGGATTCAAGTGATTACCAGCGTCAGCCAGAAGCTGCAGAAGATGTTCTGTTGTTACTGACTAGTGTTCAGACACGTGTGTATTCTGGAGTCTGGTCTCCTGCTTTGCTCCTGATGTGTGTGTGCAGTGGACTGTCGTCCTGATGAGTCTGTTAAGTTCATACTACTGTCTGAAGTCTGTGTATGACGGCTATGAATCCCTACAGCTCCTGGAGCAGAACGGAGGGTTCGGGAACAGCACACAGCTTCCCTCGCAGATCAACAACTTACACAATGCTGGTGAGTAATGTATTCAAACTCGTTTTTTGGCAAGCCATTTTCATCATAGTAGATGTGTAGCTTCCTTTTTATTCAAATATGTCACACTTCCTTTGTAATTGTTATGACTTGTTCTCTGGACAGATGTCACGCTTTTACAAATGTATTGTTAAGGTTAACAGGCTAGTGGAGAAGACTGTGCTTTTGGATCTTATCTTGTCGTGGGATGCACTAACATCCTTTGTTTACATGCATTACGTTTGGAAGTTTCTCTTTGTTTTCTGGTGCCATTTACATTTTCAGTTCTTTAACATGCACATAGTTATTTTAGATGTTTGTTTATTAATGTTTGTTTTAGTCAAATTTTTAATTTCAGCTAACCTTGTTAGTTATAATTGTTTGGTTATTTTTAATGTTTGGTTTGTTAGTTGTTTGTTTGCTTGTTAGTTATTTAGTACATCTTGTATCTTTAGTCTTATTGGTTGGGTAGTTATTATTTTTATTTATGTTTGCTGGTTCTTGTTTTTAGTTCGTTTTTTAATGATTGCATTATTCTCATTAGTTTGTTGAATGTTTTTTTTGTTTTGTTTAATTTTTAGTTTTGTTAATATTTGTTAGTTATGTTATTAGTTATTATTAGTCGGTTTGTTTTTTTACTTGCACAGATTATAACTTTAGTTATTGTTTGTTTGTTAGTTATTTAGTTGGTCTTGTTGCTTGGTTGTTGTTGTTTGTATGTTTTTAATGATTGTTTGAGTTATTCTTTTGTTAATATTTGTTAGTTATTATTAATCTTAGTTATTAGTTGGTTGGTTAGTTATTCTTTGGTTTATTAATGTTTGTTGTTGATTTTTACTTAAGTTATAGCTTTTTAATTATTGTTTGGGTTGTTCATTTTTGTTAGTTATTTTTGGTTGTTGGTTAGTTATTTTTTATTCATGTTTGTTTGTTTGTTTGTTCTTGTTAGTTTTTTATGATTGAGTTATTCTTGTTAGTTGATTTTTGTTTTATTTTTTAATTATTGGTTTGTTAATGTTTAATTATTTAGTTATTTTTGTTTCTTTTTAGGTTTTTTGATTGTGTGTTAATGTGTTTTAGTTTGTTCATATACATATACTCTGCTGTGAAATATTTCATCGGCTGGGAATTTTCATCTTTGTGAGTGCGTGTGTAAAGTAAAACTCACAGTTCCTCTCTACAAATGGTAACATGCAGCATTTAATAATATACACAAGTAATATCCGGCACAGTTGTATTTTTGTACACTTTGTTAAACTGCTGAAAAGCTCTTAATACCACAGATTAATGTAGACAGGAACAATGATTTGTGGCTTTACGCATGCCAGCTTTTGTGGTAATGAGAAGTACTTTGTGAGTGATTCATATCAAAGAGTATTTTAGACATTATTAGACAGAGACAGGATACAGCATCATCAGTCATATCATACGTCTTTTGTTAAAACCGCACACGCAGTTTGAATGAGCTCTTTAAGACAGCTTTGAGTTCTTCTGCATGACTTATCTGACAGACATTCACACACAAACACATGCAAATGCATTAAAGTGTTTATACATAAAGACACTCACTCATGCAAGGAACATAAACAGCAGTGGACGGATACATCAGCAAGAACCAATTTTGAAAATGTAGCTAGCCATGATATTTCAGCCAGTATGATGTTACATGAGTGTAACCTTCCACCTACCATCACGCTGTCATAATGCTGTACACAAACAGATAATGCCTCGTACATACCCCTGCCCCCATATTTACCTCAAGGGACAATTTCTCTCTCCATTCTGTAAGAGGATTGGCCCGCTGGTGACCATCTGCTGAGTTTACTCTGATTTTCTGACTGAACGCAGTCAGAAAGTGATAATACCACACACGTAACTGCACACATGATCTTGTTTTTTAATTTACAGTCTAAATTTCAGCCCATTATCTGGGTCATATTCTACACTTTTGAAGCATTTCCTTTTTCACCTTAAATCCACTTGCCTTCAAGACTTCTGTATCTAAATAATATCTTTTATCTATGCATACTATTGTAGTTCACAGAATTTATTTATTTTTTTGTTATTTTTGTTAATGTCTGTTAATTATTTATTATACATTAATGTTTGTTGTTGTCTCTAGTTAACAACAAGTAGAACTAACAACTAAATGAGCAATATTTTTACAGTATTTTTGTTAATGTTAATAAAAAATGCAGTAAAAATGCATTAACTAATGTTAATCGATGCAACTTTTGAATAATACATTTACAAAAAAAAAAAAAATATATATATTAGTAAATGTTGACATTAACATTAACTAAGATGAACAAATGCTGTTGGTTTATGTTAACGTATATTAACAAATGAGACCTTATTGTATAGTTTTACCAGTTATTCCTGTTACTTATTGGTTGGTTGATTTAGTTAGTTGGTTCATTTTTATTATTATTATTATTATTATTTGTTTGTTAGTTGTTTTTGTTTAGTTTAGTTATTTATTAACATTTTGTTATAATCATTTGTTAACTTTAACTATGAACTAACAAGAACTAACAATGAGCATTATTTAGTTACTTTTGTTTGGTTAGTAATTTTTTTGTTGGTTAATGTATGTTAGTTATTTGGTTTTGCATCACAATACGAAGGTGTAGGAATACAGAATAAGCATTTGATATTAAGGATGCACTGATATATTGGTCCATAAAAGCATTTGTTCATGTTATCCAAGTGATGAATAATAAAAGCAAAACCAACAAACTATACTAGTCCGTATCGGCAGATGTCATTCTAAATAAATGGTTATCATATTGACCCAGAAATTTTGTAGATCTTGGACCCAAATGCTAGGATGATGGTCATCTCACATATATAGCCATAGAAATTTGGTAAACTTTGCATCTTATTCTGTCCATGAGTTGCCAACTTAGACTGAAGAGACCATCAGACACCCATATAAAGCCTCCAACCTCAGTTTGTATGTTTTACAAGGCATGAAAATCCAATATAACTGAGAAAAGCGAAAAATGCTGCTTGTTTACATAGTAGTGTTTTCAAAACTCTTAAATATCTGTCAAAGTTTTGATGGCATGAATCTAAGAAACTTTAGCATTTTAGAGTGAAGTAACCCCTAGATCTGATCATTTGGGTTGTAAAGAACAGTTATTTGTGTTATGAGATGGTTGTGAGTCATTGCATAGAGACATTTCTTGTGTGCATATGTCAAATATATTCATCAAAGCTGTTGTCCTGTAAAAGCTCTTTTGACAAGCGTTTGAATCTCCAGGTGTGTATGACACAGACCCGGCCATGGGTGGAGGCTTCCTGGATATTCTGAAAGGAGGAACCGAAAGATTCCTGACCAACATCAAAGACACTTCCTCCAAAGTCATCCAGTCAGTGGCCAGGTGAGCGATGCGTTCAGTCTGCAGTAAAACACCCCTGCGGCTGTCCCATATTAACTAGTGCACACGCCTTGCTCGAGTGTGTTTTGGCTTGCCTTGGTTTCGTTATGATGCTTCTCTTTCCGCTGAGCCATTGACAGATTCAGCCGAATGGCGGAAGAGGACATAGTGGTGGATAGAGTACTAGTTATCTGCTGGCGGTTAATCTGATATCACTTAATCAAGCTCACAAACAATGCCACCCACTGCTGTCTTTGAGAATGTTTTCCAAAGTCTCTATTCCTAGTATAAATAGATTAATAGAATAATTATACTAGCTTCCTTTCAGCAAATTCTGCAGTAGCATTACATGTATTCTTCACAGAGGGAGTGCATTCATGATGGAGGACTAAGCAAGAGAATTCTTGATTTATAAATATATTTAGTTTAATTTCAAAATTATAATATATAATAATGTATAATATAATAATTAAATGAAGAGTATTTTACCCAAAAATTGCATTACATTTTATTTGTATATCTCAAATCAGTAGTATTATGACATACTATTATACAGTAGTAGTTTTTAATATTTTGAATTAGCTTTTGTTTTTATATTTTCAACTTTCATTTTAATTTTAGTTTAACTTTTACAAATTTTATGTCTTTTTTTTTTTTTACTTTCCTATTTAGCATTTTGAAAATTTGTCTCTTGTAATTTTTAAAAAATATTTTTAGTTTTCATTTTAGTTATTTTATGTCTTTTGTCATTATACATTTTTAAATATTCCTAATTTTAGTATTAATTTTAGTAGGGGTGCTCTGATTGATCGGCTACCGATCACTATCGGCCGATAATCGCTCTGGGAAGTTTGATCGTCTCTATAAAGGCCGATATCAAAAACCGATCTCAAGCTGATGACACACCTGCTGTGAGAGGTTCAGCATGACATGCAGCGGCACCATCTCAATCTCTTTTCACACATACTCTTGCTTATATTTACTGCGATTAAACACGTCTATGAAAAATTGTATTACTGTACTGCGTAAAAAGAGAATCACAATGCTCAAAATGCATTTTCAGTAACAACGTTTGGATTTGAAATCAAAATGGATAAATGTTGTGTTTGTGGTAAACCGCTGCGGATCAGGAGCGGACCTCTGTGTTGAAAGCAGAATGAGTCCGTGCTGCTTCTGCGACGCTTATGTACCGCACATTGACTGCATACGCACTGCAGACGGTGTATGCTTGTCCCATTATAAAAACAAAAATGCACTGCATGATCAAACATTTAGGTGAGATAATTATATATATTTTAAAAAATTGTCCAAAAAATGCCCCCCTCAAATTAAACCCCCCACCTACAAGAGTCACCTTAGAGGGGAATTCCCCCCATTTTCCAAAATGAAATTCAGGCCCTGAATGAATGTCTGTAAAAATCCTGTCTGGAGCATCACTATAAATAATTCCACATTATAAAAAGAAAGCTTCAAAAAGATCGGTATCGGCATCGGCAGATAGTGCTTCCTGTGATCGACAATCGGTGATCGGCCCCAAAAATTCTGATCGGAGCACCCTTACATTTCAGTAATTTTGTTATGTCTTTTATCATTATTATTTTTTAAATATCCCTATTTAGCTTTAATTGTTTTAAAAAAAATATATATAATATATATTAATATTTTATGATTAATAATATTAGTTTTAATATTAAAGTTTTTGTCATTTTATAGATTTTGTCATTTTTTTAATGTATTTATTTATTTATTAATTTTCCTATTTAGCTTTTCATTTATGTTTTTAAGTTTTAGTAATTTAGGTCATTTTAGTTCTTATTTTATTTCAGCTCTATTTCATTTAACAGAACTTTGATAGTTTTCATTTTAGTTACCAATAACAACACTGACTCAAATATAAAAAATAAAAGCAAAAAAAAAAAAATGACAGTATACTACCTCATTATAATGCATGCTGCACAATTATTCCTGAACGTGTGAGTCATGATATCCTCTGTAACGAATAATTGTCTCATATGAAGCATTTCTTTTTAATGAGTTAGCCTGGGGCATTTTAATGTAGAATAACATATGCTTATGCATCATACTCAAAACAAAGGACATTTATAAAATTAAATGGGGTCAATTCTGAGTCCATGTTGATTCGATCATGATTATCTTCATAATAAGGTAAATTTGATCTGTCTAATTGCAGTGACTGGACGTTAATTTCTTGGTAAACTCAATCAGGGTTTTGTTTATGACACACACTGATCTACCAGATCATAAATTCCCCTCCACTCCCCATCCATAATCTGTTTGCATTCATTAATCATGTTTAATAATTATCCCCCTCAACGTCTCCACAAGTTTGTCATGTTTATTTTCTCCTCAGTTGGCCCATTTTTGCTTTCCATTTGTTTTTGTTCATTGTCTTGTTTTGTTCATTTTGTTCCTGAATCACGTCTCTCGATCCCAAATCGCCAACCCCTTGCAGCTCCAGGTAACTATGGGACAGCGCCTGTGTGTCTGTTTTTGCATTACACGTGTGTACTGTATGTGTAGAGATGGTGTGTGAACTTCACTCCACCTTCATCTCAATGCTTTGTTCGCTGTTTGTTCATAACCACAGTCTGAGTCTGCTCCCATCAGCACAGCATTACCCTGATCAGTAGTGTTTCTTGAAAGTTTAAACAGCTGCCTACTAAATCCATATGTGTGAGTGCTGCTCCTCAAATAACTTTAAAGGAGTAGTTCACTATATTCAATGATATATTACACAGTATTCCAAGCCTTCTATATAAATAAATAGTGACTAAAGTTGCATTTATTTAATCAAAAATACAGTAAAAACAGTAATATTGTGAAATATTATTACAATTTAAATTAACTTTCTATTTTCTATTTGAATCTTTTAAATGTATTTATTAATTTATTCCTGTGATGCAAAGCTGAATTTTCAGCATAATTACTCCAGCCTTCAGTGTCACATGATCCTTCAGAAATCATTCTAATTTTCAACAAAATTTTACTGACCCAAACTTTTGAACAATAGTGTACATAACAGAAGGAATATAAGTAAGTCAGTTTTAGTTTTTGAGTGAACTATTCCTTTAAGTTTAGTCTTTGCCTTTTTAGACCCAGATTTCTAACAGAGTTTGAGTTTTGATGCAAGCCGTTACTCTTTTTCTTGTCGACAGGCTTTCCATCGAGGTTTAGCTTGTAATGTAGATGTTCTTTTAGTTCTTGCATTCATACATCTAAACACGTGTCCTGTCCTGTCTCAGTTATGCTAAGGGAGACCTGGACCTGTCCTACATCACCTCCAGACTAGCAGGTACAGTCACCTGTGTATTACAGCTTTCAGATTCATTTAGGATGTCTTAACTCTAATGTAATGGTGTTAAAGTTATTTACCTGTCTATTTGTGTTTTTGCAGTCATGTCTTTCCCAGCTGAAGGTGTTGAATCTGCAATTAAGAATAACATTGAGGACGTGCGTCTGTTCCTGGATTCTCGACACGCGGGTCATTATGCAGTATACAACCTCTCCAAACGCTCCTACAGACCGGCCAGGTTTCACAACAGGGTGAGAGTGGACGGCAAAGCATTTGATTGCAAATGACTTAACAGATTACATGGATCTAAACCGATGTCTTGTCCTTATATCATAAATCCTGTGTTGTTATTGTTAACTAAAACTAATTTAAAGGGTTACTCCACCCCAAAATTAAAATTTTGTCGTTAATCACTTACCCCCATGTCGTTCCAAATCCGTAAAAGCTTTGATCGTCTTCGGAACACAATTTAAGATATTTTGGATGAAAACCGGGAAGCTTGTGACTGTCACATTGACTGCCAAGTAAATTACACTGTCAAGATCCAGAAAAGTATGAAAGAAATCATCAGAATAGTCCATCTGCCATCAGTGGTTCTACCGTAACGTTATGAAGCGACGAGAATACTTTTTGTACATGAAGAAAACAAAAATAACGACTTTATTCAACAATTCGTCTCCTCTGTGTCTCTCCGCATCACCGTAGCGCCATTTTGGAGAATATCCTCTGAACGCAAGCAGCGTACGCTATTCTGTGTCAGCCACGACACAAGGATATGTTTTCTACGTGTGTTTACGCTTTGATTTGAACGAAAACAGCTCCTCCGTGCAGCGCGGCTGACACAGAATAGTCGTCTCCTCTGTGTCTCTCCGCATCACCGTAGCGCCATTTTGGAGAATATCCTCTGAAACACAGAGGAGACGAATTGTTGAATAAAGTCGTTATTTTTGTTTTCTTCGCATACAAAAAGTATTCTAGTCGCTTCGTAACGTTACGGTTGAACCACTGATGGCAGATGGACTATTCTGACGATGTCTTTCATACTTTTCTGGACCTTGACAGTGTAATTTACTTGGCAGTCAATTGAATGCTCACAAGCCTCCCGGGTTTTGATTATGAAATGTTATTACATTTATTACAACCATTGAAATTGATATAAAAAAGAGGATCCAGAAAAATGAAAACATTATTTAGGAAAAAATAAAACTGATTTCATAAGTCACTACATACTGTACTTGATAAACTCATAATTGCGTTGTGTGTGCAGGTATCAGAGTGCGGTTGGCAGCCTAGACGAGCTCCTACTCTGAAGAACTTGTACAGTATATGTAAAAACATGCACCAGTGGCTCAAGCAGGACCAGAGGAACATCTGCATCGTACATTGTCTGGTGAGTAAACACACACACACACACACACACATTTCCAACAATGTTACTATTAGTGCTGTCAATCGATTAAAAAAAATCACATGCATTAACTTGCCTACAAACATATTACACTGTGGCCTTTGTTGACAAGTCATAATCAAATTTTCGATAACCTTTAACTTCCCAATTCATTTAATTCAGCATATTCAGAAGAAAAATGATGTTTGGGTATCCTAGTGTGTCCTGTCATCTTCATATTGTGGCTGTGTGTTTTTGCAGGATGGACGGGCAGCGTCGGCTGTGGTGGTTTGTGCATTCCTCTGTTTCTGTCGTCTGTTCTCTACAGCCGAGGCTGCAGTTTACATATTCAGCATGAAGCGATGCCCACCGGGCATCTCGCCCTCACACAAACGGTAACTTCCTGTCTTTTTCTCACTCTGTTTCTTTGAATTAAGAAGTACTGCACACCAAAATGTCAGGGCAGTTTGTTTTAAAACCGAAATCGATGCTCTGTGGATTAATTCAAAAGCTCAGGTGCATGAACATGAGCAGTGAGCCGCAGGTGTGACGGTTCTTTGGTGTTGAGGTCACTTCCTGCCACAGCTGTTCTTTGGCTTGCCAAGAGCTTCTGCCGAACTTCGCAAGCTCATGGGACTCTTTTGATTCTAACCAAGTGTGAATGTGTGTGGTTACTGGAGCTGATAACAGTGACTTTGTCAGCTAAATGTAAAGGAAGTCACATAACCTCGAGCAGAATGTTTAGTTCTGCTGCTCACCAGAACACAAGAGTGTTGAGCTGCATTTAAAGGAATGTTCCGGGCAGTGTTACTTTAGTATTTTTATATACTATAGTATTTATTAATATTTTGAATTTGCTTTTACTATTATATTTTCAAATTTAATTTGAGTAATTTTATAATGTGCTTTTGTCATTTTATTAGTTTTTAAATTTTTCTATTTAGCTTAAATTTTATTTTTTGTTTCAGTAATTTTTGTATTTCAGCTTTAGCTTATTTATTTCAGTTAGCTGCCAATGAAAACATTACAATTTTGTTTCATTTCATCTGTATATTTATTTTACTTCAACTTTATTTCAATTAACAAATTATTTTTTAATAGTTTTAGCTTTAGTTAACAGTAACTAGTAGGGCTGGGTATCGATTCAGATGTAAAGATTCGATTCGATTCCAATTCACATATGCGACTAAATCTTCACTCTGGGTGACTAAATGATGTCTATCGTTAGCCATTGGCTAATAAATTCTTAGATTTTACTGGCCAGTGTGTGAGTTGGAGGCCAAGTATAAGTTTAGCACAGATATATTTTCACTCGCTGAACACTGACTGAGCGCTTCAGAGTTGCACTGTCTGAAAACTGTTTGTTTTCTGTCAAAATAACGGAGTTCATTTAGAATTATTCAGCTTTTAAGAACAAGCAAAAGATATGCCGGATTTTCAGGTAGTGGGCGGAGCTAATGCGCGAACGGCAATCTCATTGGCTGGCGCTTATCTATTACCGACCTTGTTTGAAAGCCATTGTTCGAGTGAACGCTGGCAATGTGATTAATATTCATGAACCCAGCAGCTCATCGATCCTTAGTGCGATGTATATTGTTATTAGTAGTAGTATTATCTGTTAATAATTAGTACCATTATTATATTACTATTATCTTTTTTTTTTTTTCAGAAACCCTGAATGACCAACAATACTTTAAGCATCACCACCAGTCCTAAGTTCAGTTAAAATTACAAATATGCACTCATACATGGTTACCAAGTTTTAGTTCTAATCACTAAAGTGCTATCATTAAATAGTGCTTAATTATCATAATTAGGGATGCACCGATACCACTTTTTCCAGTACTCGCCCGATACCGATACTTTTATTTTTGATACTTGCCGGTACCGAGTACCGATACCAATATTTTTATTGCATTTGTAAATTTTTTAAATATTGGGTACAGAAACCAAAATAGTATTTATAATGTTAGTTGGTTCATTTATCAAATAGATACAATCAAACCTAAATTTATTCAGACACCTTCAACATTTCTCACATTATCACAGTTTATTCGCTATAGTTTAGAAAATGGTAATAAAATATAACAAGAACTCAGAGTTAAACGGAGTCAGAACAAATTCAGCTTGATAATGTTAGATAACTTTGATAGAAAAGTATGTTATGGATTACAGTCAACCAAAAATTGACTGTAAACAGCTGTTAGTATGACAGTATTTACACAACTATCAATACTTAGTCGGGCAACCCTTAGCCTTAATGACAACCTGTAGTCTCCTGGGCATGCTGTCATCCAGGTTCATGCAAACCTGAACTTCAAATTTCAAACTTCAAGACTCGGTCTGAATAATTTTTGGTTCCAAATTTGTATGAAGAAATTGAGTATAATTTGTCACAGTTTACTTTATTTTGCTATCCTCACATAAATAAACTATAGTGTTTTGCACCCACTAGGGGAAAAAAATATATCAAAAATTATATCTGGTCTATATCCTTTGGTTATTTTCACACTTAATTATGCCTATTAAAATGTATTTTACAGGTTTTTGTTACTTTCACTGTTAATTTTTTGCTCTATGGTACATCATCTTTAATTTAATAGCATTGGAGCTGCTCCATTGCAGCGACTTAGTACTGTTATCACGCACTTTGCTGTAATAATGCAGGGAACCACTCGTTATAAATCTCCTAACTGTGATATTTTCAGAAATAAATCATCTGAAACGTGCTGCGATTTATATTCCAAAGCCACTCATATAATGCAGAAACACTCAAGCAAGCAAAACACGCGCAACGCGTGCATATATTTGTACTGGTGCAGAATAGTACACACTGCTAGATTCACTTTCGCCAGAAAGTCGTGTATGCCTAAGGTTTAAAATAAATTGTGTTTATAGTGAATGCCCCTATAAATGGTCTTATCTGCGCCGCCGCGCGCTCAATCCACTCAGCGTGCTTTGTTTATCAGCTCGCGCACATCAGCTATACAGGGGTTAATACTGAATGATTAACATTATATTCATTGCATACATATACTTCGTAGACATTCGTAATCTCTTATATCTCCATTCTGCTGTCTGTTGTTCTGTTGTCGGTGTTTCATTGTCTGAATATGGCACTTAGCACATGCTGGGGCATGGGTATCGGGGCATTTTAACGAGTACGAATACGAGTACAGGAGCTTAGTATCGGGCCCGATACCAGTATCGGTGCATCCCTAATCATAATATCATAATATAATGCTTGATTGACTGATTAAGAAGCTAAGATTTAAGAAGCTGTGCCATTTAACAAAGATAAGCTGATTTGGTGGAATCATATAAATATATTAGTGCTGGGATGTGGTTAATCGTGATTACGGCTTTTGAGAATCAATACCGAATCGACCATAGTTTAAAAAACGATTAATCGAAAAATCTAATTTTTTGCCCAGCCCTAGTAACCAGGTTATTGTTTACTAAAACTGAAACCATAAAGAAATATTTTCATTACTTGAAATAAAATAAACATTAACTAAAATAAAATGAAATATTTCAGCTAGTTGCCAAAGTAATCTTTTTCATTTTTGTTTAGAATATGAAGTAATAAAATGACTAAAAACTAAAACTTGATAAACTGTACAGACATATTTAACAAAAAACAAATGACAAACACAAAACTAAATTACTAAAACTTTAAAATTCAAATGAGAACAGAGAATATAAAAATAAAATCTAATTCAAAACATTTACAAAAACTATATCAATGATATAACACTGACTATAACACAGGTTCTAATGCACGTACAGTAGAAATAGGGCTGAGGGATATAGCCAAAACAATTATCTTGATAAAATTTTTCATATCAGTCGATATCGATAATTATTACGATAAATTTCAAATCTTTATTTCTTTCAAGTTTAAAGGCAGATTTTTGCTCCCAAGTGAAAGTTGTTGAAACCAGACTACCAGAAACCAGTTAATTGTGGTTTAAACTACTCTTTATGGTCAGAAAGTGGCAAACACTTCAAGTTTTTGAATTCTTCACACTTTTCCAGTCATTCTTCCTTAACAAAATAAATATCTTCATAGAAAAATTTATTTCTTAGTTTCTGCATTTCCTAATAAGTGTTATTGTTTCAAATAATGAAACAGTTTTGTGTTGCCTGACTTTGATGACGCGTATCTTCAGCACAATTTGCAGTGCATGCTGCAATATTAATAATATTAAATTGATGTCTCTTAGAAATGCTCATTTGACAGTAGCTTGAGTTGACAGTAGTAGTAGCTTGAGTTAGGATGCAGATGTAAATTTGTTCATTACCAAAAACGGTAACATCTGTAAAAATTGTAACAACATAATTTTTATATGGTGAAATGTAATTACTCTGACTGTTTGAGTTGTATTAAAATTAACCATTAGACTACCAAAGGATTGCCTCAAGACTTAGTCATTATATATGTGTTAATTTCTTAACTGACTCCTGTCATAATCGTATAAAGCTGGTAAACCTTGTGACTTGCATAATACATGCGAAAATAGACCAGCTTTATAGAAAAAAGTCCAAACAATCACCTCAGTAATGCATAAAAGGACAAAAAAAACTTTGCAGCACACATTTGTGCACATATCTCATGTTATGATATCTCCTGATGTGTGAAATCTGCTTGTGAGGATGTGGGGTTCATGGCAAAGATCGAAGTGATCTCAGTTTACACTGTTCATGAGAATGAGGTCAGGCATTTCATTCCAGAGTGTAGATGTTAGATGATGAACCATGATGATTTTGCAGGTTGTTAATGGTGCTTGCTAAGCAATCAATATTATTACAGTGTAAAACTTCACTATTGCCTTTTAAAAGCCCTTTTTTTGGAACCCCTGGTGTATTAAAGTCTTTTGAAATAAGGTCATTTGCATATAGAAAAGTGCAGTAACAGCCTGTTTAATTCAAAGGTTTCAGAGAGGAGGGGGAAAATGGGCATGTAAAACTAAATCACTGTTTTTGGTACAAGAAACTTTGACTAACGTCTAAAGCAAAGCAACCGCACATGAAAAAAGTCTTGATGATAGCCTCGTAAATTTGGGTTCAGCTCAAGATCAAAATGTGTAGTTTAGATGTAGATGTACAGTCGTGGTCAGAATTATTGGCACCCTTGGTAAATATGATCAAAGAAGGCTGTGAAAATAAGTCTGCATTGTTAATCATTTTGATCTTTTATTTAAAAAAATTCACAAATATCTAACCTTTCATTGAGCTAAAACAATTGAAAATGGGGGGAAAATGTCATTATGAAATAAATGTTTTTCTCAAATACACATTGGACACAATTATTGGCACCCCTAGAAATATCTGTGAAGTATATTCCCATTCATATTTACAATGAGAGGGAAAACAAAGGCCAAATTTCCTTAATCGTCTGTCACAATGAGAAAAA